AAAAGGTAAAATATAACCATGTTTTATGAAAAAAAATCTTTAAAAGTATTATTGTTCGTCTAATTACAGTTAATAGGACTTCAACAATCACTTAAAGACCATTTCATATAGGTAGTTAGTTTCTTTCTTTCTTCCGAAGTCATTATCCTAATATATTTATAGAAAAAAAAATCTTTCGGGCTGAAGCCCTCCCCAAAATTAAATTCTGGATCCGTTAGTGCTTCTAACAACTCTAGACAACTGTTAATGTTTCTATGAGTTATGTATACATTTATAGTTTTATAAGTGTCATCAGCAAATTGTAATATTTCTACTTCGCCGAGTATATATTTTCTGAAATCTGCTGAGACTATGGACAGCTAAGGATACCTCCCTGCGGTGGACCAATCTGAGCGTTTCCTAAGCCAATTATGCAATTGTAAACCTTTAAAAATAATTTTCTACGACAAATTAAATTCACTATGAAATTTATTATTTTCCCAAGGCTTTAATACCAATTCGTACGCCGTACCGAGTCGTATGCCTTCCCAATGTCTAAAAATTATTCAATTGTATTTTTGCCTTCAGAAAATCCGATATTTATGTTAGAGTGCAAGACCAACTATCCATGCTCGACTTCTGTTTTCTAAAACCATATTAAAAGTGAGATAGCTTATTCTGTGATTTCAACCACCATTCTATCCTAAACATGGTCATTCTTTCGAATGATTTTAGTTAACCGGAACTTAATGAAATAGGTCTGAAGAAAGAACCCAATTTTGGGTTCTTACGTGGTTTTAGAATAGGTACCAAACAATGTTCTATCCACAATTTCGGTAGTATATTAGTTTGCCATATATTATTGAGTATATTTAATAATATAATTTTTAATTGTATCGGTAATTTATTTAACTTTAAGTGAATATTGTCAATACCAGGAGAGCTATTAGCATTACTTTTGATTGAATGTAAAAGTTCTGGCAAAATAAAATTTCCTGTTAAACATTTATCATCATTATCTTTGTCCTTATCGCTATCGTATGTAATTTCAGGCACTACTAAAGAAGGAGCTAAGTTGTCTAAAAACTCCTCGCATCAGTCTTCAATGACGGGGACCAATCTATTTATTGTTTTTCGATTTTGTAGAATGGATGAATTATTCCATATTTATTTAATTGGATTACTTTTATTGATACCAGCAGTAAACGATGGTTTTGTTTTGGACCATTTCGCAGATTTAATTTGCCATTTTCTAGTAGTTTTATAGATGTTTTGAGCTTCGTCTTTTTTATAATGAATTTCTGGATTATGGAGAGATGATTAGAATCTAAAGGATTATCTTGAACTTTCCATGTACAACTCTCGGAACTGTTTATTGAGATTAATGTTATTATATCCAATGTGATATTTATTTTCTGACGTATTTTGTTCAAAAAGGTTGGGAAACCGTTATTCAACAATGGTAATTAGTTTAGACAAGATTAGTTTTTTCTATTGCTGAAACTAATTTTATCCTCCATCTTATAGCATAAATCACACCCCCACTGATAATAGTGAGCGTTTGCATCTCCACCTATAATTACGAGGTGTTGAAAACTTCTTACCTTTTGTCGCTTTATTTCCCGGTTTTGAATAGAAAAGTTCAACAATTAAGATGTTTTAGCAAAGAGGAAAAAATATATTTTGAACAGTGGCTGGATTATACACTACTATTAGATTAACATTCAAGTTCTTATTATATTGAAGTAATGATATGCGTCTAGATTCTGCGCTCTAGAATGTGCCATATTTTATCAATTACATTAATATTTGGACTTTATGTAGTAGTTAGTGGCTTCAGGATGGTTTTACAAGACCTACTGTTATGCCTTATAAGAAAAACTACACATTATTATCTCGTCAAGATATCTATGAACTCTATAATTATATCAATAAATCTATAAATCCTGTTAAGATATCTATGCAATTATCGTATATATTATTACCTTGTTAAGATATCTATTAATTTTCAATCCATTCTTCTTGACTAATGTTTTTTATATTATTTCACAAAATGTTGTTTTCCAAACCTGGGAAATGCGACATCTCCAAACAATGACCCCCTGTATGTGTCACCATCGATTAAATATTTAGTTTTTTAGATGTTATATTTTATTTCGGGCATATATATTTCCTTTTGTTACTTTTATGAATATATATTAAACTACTTCAATTGATTCAACAGAACATTTTACTTAAATTTTATTGATTTGTACAAGTATACATGTGCAAACATGAATTAACACCTATAACAAAATGTGTTTCTTCCAGTGTATACTATCTTTTATTATTTTATTTCATCATCATCCTTCCTTTCCTTTTAGTACAACAGATTTTTGGAAGAAGTAGCACAATACCTTTACCATTTACTCTCTTTCTTCGTTCTTCCATCCTCTTGATTAGTGGAGGCTGAAATGATCAACACCAACTACTAATTCCTTCCACACATACACGAAAGCTTCGTAGTACGGGTAGTTATCCTCTCTTACAAGCTGAGAGAAATCGTCCTCCGTGATGATCTAGAGTCCAGTTTCCCACAGTAGTGTGGCCCTTATTGTCTCAAAAGCAGCAGTGTATTCTATCACGTACATCAATGTGATAAGGAGTTCTTACACTTGAATCACTGATGTGCTTGTTAAAGTTCTAGACCATACGTACCAATCTCCAAGCTCTAGTAGACGGATTATTTGTAGTTCCAGATGATGTCCCAGCACTCTGGAGGCGTCAATACATAATAGTTCGTGGTACAGAACGCTTTTTATCAAATTATTAACATCCGCCTGAAACTTCATCTCATCGTAATCTACAAATATTTTATTTACGAACATACTCGGAATTAGGGCGATTTTAATCTGGAGGTCGGTTAACTTTGTTTATTTAATTAGGTACTAGAAACTCGTAAATACTCATTATCTGTTCACTTGGATCGTAAGATAATTTGATTACAAAATCGAGAAAGAAGGTGGCCTACAAAAATCTTGGACCATTTGGCCTATATAACCTCGTTATTTTGAAAATTTGGGGGTTTAGCACAGGCGGATCTACGGGGAGAGGGGTGAGGGGGGTGGACTTTCGGGCTGAAGCCATCCTCCCCCCATAATAGTAAAATATAACCATGTTTTACAGAAAAAAATATTAAAACTATCTCTTATGGTACTTCTATAAAATAATATAGACATATCAATATAGAGGGGATATTAATATTAATAGGAGGAGGAAGGATTTTCCGGTCTGAAGCCCTCGGAAAAGGTAAAATATAACCATGTTTTATGAAAAAAAATCTTTAAAAGTATTCTTGTTCGTGTAATTACATTTAATAGGACTTCAAGAACCACTTAAACACCATTCTATATAGTTAGTTAATTTCTTTCTTTCTTTTCTAATTAATTATCGTTATATGTATGTGAAAAAAAAATCTTTCGGACTGAAGCCTCCCCCCCCCCAAAATTAATTCCTGGATCCTCTAGTGGGGTGTATGTCACGCCTCAATATTTTTGAAGGACATCTTTCTTTTTTTTTACTTTGTGCTCAAATTATCTAACGATTCAAGTGGGAAGCAAATGGGTATTTACGAGTTTTTAGTACCTAGTAGGTTACCATGAGATAAAGCTATTTATGAAATTTCAGGCGGATGTTGATAATTTGATAAAAAGGGGTCTGTACCACGGAATATTAGTTTGGCTTCTTTGTGGTTTGTTGGAGGTGGTTCCTCAAGTGGTTTCTCACCATATCTTTTTGAGTGAAAAATTCATGATTGAGGAGTGAGTGAGTAGACATGTCCTAACATGTCTTTACTCTGTTTCGGAGTAAAACAATTTTTTTCAAGTAAATCACAAAAAAAAATGCGTTAAAATAAACTTTAATAAATCAACTGCCTTCACGGGCGGATCTACGGGAGGAGGGGGCTTTCGGGCTGAAGCCCCCCCCCCCAAAATGGTAAAATATAACCATGTTTTATCGGAAAAAATACTAAAAAATTATCTCTTAAAGTATAATTATTCGTGTAATTACATTTAAAAGGGCTTTAGGAATCACTTAAACACCAGTTCGTATAGGTACTTAGTTTCTTTCGTATTTTCCAAAGTAATTATCGTTACTTTTATGAAAAAAAAAGCTTTCGGATTGAAGCCCTCCCAAAATTAAATCTTGGATCCACTAGTGACTGCCTTCATGGAATAAAGAATCGGAACTAGTACCTCAATTGTATTTCTTATTTAAAATGTGAATATTCTTTTCAAATAATTTGTTTATATATATATTAGTAACATTTTACTGAATATTTAATAGTTGACAGTTGCATTATAAAGGAACGAGATGGTCCGGGGTGGCGGTCACAAATAGGCTACATAGAGGTAAAACAATTTTATTAAAAGCCAGCGTTATGACCCGACTTTGCAGGTCTTCTTCAGGGCTAGGACGGAGAAGATACAAACAGATAGAGATTTGAGGAAGTTATTTAATATTTAGACAAAAAATTGTTCACATTGTTTATAATTTTTTGTCTAAATATTATGTAACTTCCACAATTCTCTATATTTCTATATCTTGTCCGTTCCTGCCCTGAAGAAGACCTGCAAAGTTGCGTCGAAACGTTGGCTTTTAATAAAATAGTCTTACCACTATTTAGCCTATTTATGACCGCCGCCCCTCCTTCCTTTGGTAAGATTTTACGTCATTATGTAAACAAAACATGAGTAACAACTACATAACCTACCTATGTCTCCAGGCACTTCATCTCTTAACTGCTGTTATTGATTTCCTGACAATTTTTTAATAAGGTTATTATTAATGTAAGTCTTTATTATGTATCACAATTTCGGATTTATTATAAGATTTAAATTTCTTCGATTGAAATAGCTATTGTAGTTAGCAATAACTTTTCCCACATCATATGTTTTTCTTACATTAATTCTTTTCTTTCTTTTTAAGGTGTAGTAAAATATGAAAATTGTCTTTCGTAGAAAACAATAAACATTAGATAGATGAAGATCTGGACTTCTGAACATACTTTCAATCACCCTTGGGAAGCCATTGCACAGGCTACTTGGAAGAAGTACCCTAACCCTATGAATGCCGCTATTCTAGGAACTGATGTACTCGAAAGGAGAGTTGTGGATGGGATACTTCACACTCATCGCCTAGTCAGCTCGATTTGGGGCCTGCCAAGGTGGTTGCAGAATGTAATAGGACCTGCCAATACTTTCTACGCCAGTGAACACTCTACGGTTAACCCAGAGACCAAGAATATGACTTTGAAGACGAGGAATGTAACTTTTCGTAAGTATATCTCCGTGGATGAGTTCGTATGCTATGAGCCTCATCCAGAAAGCTATGATAAAACAGTAATGAGGCAGGAAGCTGTAATATCCGTCGAAGGAGTGCCTTTCAGTGATTATGTGGAAGATCTCATTTGTGACACTATAATGGTAAATGCAAACAAGGGTCGCCAAGCTATTGAATGGGTCATTGGAAATATCAAATCTGAGATAAGAGAATTCAAAGAACTCCCTCAAAATAAATCAGAAGAGCTTTAAATTTATATTTGAAGATAAACGTTTTTTGTTTGAACCCCCTGTATTGTATTGAAGTCTGTCATTACTAGAAAAAAAAAATTAAATGCACGAGCCATATTTTCTAAATATTTGATTGCTTATGTGATACACCATTATCCGAAAAAAACTTTTATGTATATTAGTTCACACCAAATTTAATAGATATTTATGTTTTATGATATAGTTTATAAAATCTGGGAGAATTATATATTGTATTTAGTGCGTTAAATTATAATTACGAGCATGTTTTCTATTTTTACAATTCTGTATGGCTATTATTTATCTGAATTTTTAAGTAAAATTAAACTTCAATTTAGTTTTGTTTTTAGGCAGTTTTTTTGTTTTTTTTTTGTATCCATCAATTATTAAACCACGTTATGTTGAACATTAATTTCATTTGAGGTACATTCAAGAGAAGGTTTACTAAAACAAAGTCCCTTTTATTGTACTATTATATGAGCCTTCCAGTTGACAGAAATTTTCTTACTCCAATTTCAACATTTATTATTATTAATTTTCCTGATATTTCTAGTGGAACTTATTCACAGTTTTATATTTCAACACTGCAATCACCTACTCTGGAATCAACTAACTCACTGTGAAAATAAAAGAATTGTTTGTATTTACATGAAAACATCATTGTAAAAATATTTAAAAAAAAAATCTTCCAGACAATACCTTTCTTTTCATTAGTGGTAATTTTATCTTTGTGGAATTATTTATTAATCGTATTAACAAATGAATTAGTCATGTCAAATAATTAATTAATGTAGAGTTATTTAATAATAGTATTAATACACTGTAACTGAGAAATAAAATTGCCAGAGCATGAAATCTGGAAGAATATACATTGTTCATTAACTGGATTTCTTTTCGGGAATGTCTCATTTTTCAAGTTGTATTCTATTGGATAGTTATTGGATAATAACTGAACATTAGAACCAATAAACATAAAAATAATGAAGAGAAGAATAGATGGGGTGATCAGTCAAATAAGAAGGCAAAAATAAATGATAATATTTATTTTGACATTGTTTGGATCTGAAGTTCAGGCCTTCATCAGGGCTGAACTTCAGGTCGAAACGTCGGCCAATGTCAAAATAAATATTATCATTTATTTTTGCCTCCTTATTTGACTGATCACCCCAACTATTCGTCTCTTCATTATTCACGACAGCAAACCATTTACCCACAATTATAAACATAAAAATAGATTAACAGCTCTTTATACTGAGAGTGTTCTATGGTTCGAGGTAAGTCTGTAATATTTGTATGTGAATTACAATCACAAGACTTGATTTCTTCTCATTTCTATAGAGCTTTTGCTTCTTGTTATTTAGTGAATCATGATGAAGAATTGCCACCACTTTCAGGTCCCCACAGATTTGCCATTTGTAGTCCTGGTATTTAATTAATTTATTTTTTATATATGGTATTATATTCTTCGTTTTACAATATGTTATGTTAAGTTAATTATCACAAAGTAATGTTTGTAAGTAATATAAATTCCCATCATGGCATCTAGAGGCGAAGTACATTGATTTAACCAATTTCCAGCTATACCTGAATCAATTCCAGCATTTTTCTGCCTAATTTTGTTAACAATACTTAGAAAATATGAACGAAAGATACTTAATCAAGATATTTATTTTTTTAAATGCACAACCCTATTCCGACCAGACTATCGTCAAATAGAACCGAACTATCATGAATCCTCTCTAACAGCTTCGCCTCCATGAATACTGAAATTTCGTAGGTATTCTAATTCTAAACGTCAATACAAGGATTCATTCTTTTTTTTATTTTTATTATTTCATTTTACTTTTATTCTTTTATTGAATTCTGATTGTTAATAAAGTTAATTTTTCGGGGTAAGTAAAGTTAATTTCACTAATCAGTCTGATTTGGGTAGCGGATTATGATTAATTAAAATAATACTTTTGTTGAAATATAAAATATTCAAATTTCGTATATTGGCCCATTTCGCTGTTGCCCCATTGTGCGACATTTTAACTCTTGAATAATACTTCAAATGACTGATCTGTTGCTTTATACGGCTTCAAAGTTTAATTGACAATTATAAAATAAGCGCATTTAAGAAGCAGCATTTGGTTAAAAGCATCAAGCAGTTTTCTTTTTAATGCTATTTTTAACACCTATTTCAAAAACTTTTATATAAAGGATTAACATATTTTTTATGACTTCTACCACAAACAAAAAAGGAATATGATCCCTAGCTCTTGCTACAAATACCATCTCTATATAATAAAAAGACTTATATTTTTACCCACGAATATTTTCCGAGGTATGCGTGAAAATTGTAATTGTTATCAAACTTTTTTGTTATCAGACATTTAACCTAGTCCGTTGACATATAAATGTTAATTCCGTTGTACAAGTAACCAGGCGGTTCTACCAGGAAGTGAGCCACCCATTTGCATTGCTTATCAGCTTGGAAAGGCTACTTAGGTTGAAAATATTTTTTTAGCCGATTATTGAGTTACTTGGTAGTCATGCCGGCATGGAGGCAACATGAGAGGAGGTAAGAATTATATTTTAATTAAAGACTGGTTTCCATAGCTGAAATTACATATCTATAGCATAATCAAAATGGGAACGATTTTACGTCCAAAGGGAAATATGCTATATTTAAGGGTAAATTAACGATGTGGTACGATTTTGTCTTAAATATAGATATACCTATTTAAAGTCATCTAACATCGTATTCCATCATTTTTAAAGAGGGGCAAGGATAGAAAAAATCCAAATAAAGAAGGACAAGTTCCTCAACTCTACGCCAATCCCCATCGATGATCTCAGCGCTGAATTTAGAAACTTGCAGTAATATATTGAACCAAAATTTCAAACAAGATCCGCAATTAAAATTTGCCTACATTTATCCATATAGAATATACAGATTACTCAGATGTACGCTATCGCTCCAAAATACGGAAACAAAAATCCATCCAGAAGACGGAGAGAAATCCAGATGTAATGTAGAAACATTTCTGATTTAAATAAATAAAACTCTTATTTGAATATAAGATTAACATAAATAAAATGTGTTTGTAAATATTATTCCTCGGCTTTGATCTTTTATTCCATTAACTAGAATTAAGACATTCTTAAAGGTAGGAGAAAAAAATATATATATTCCTCTTGGGGTAAATTCTTTTATGAATCATGTTTATTTCTTACATATTCATCATTTCTGGTCTCTTTCTGTTAGGACATACTTCTACAGATTACTGCATTTGCCATGAATCAGTGAAACGCCTTTTCACGGCAAAAAACTCTTTTTAGAAAAAATTTTGGTTTTGTCAACAAAAAAAAAAAAAAAAAAGAAGAAAAACATAATTTATTAATCAATAAAAGTGGTGAATGCAAAACAAAAATCTGAATGAAAACCAGGAGTGAAATGAGAATCTGAATGAAAAAAAAAAAAGAAAGATGCTAACTACCTATATGAAATAGTGTTCAATTGATTCTTGAAGTCCTATTAAATATAATCACACATACAATAATACTTTAAGAGACTTTTTAATATTTTTACCATAAAACATGGTTACTTTTCACTGTTTTTGAGAGAGGGGAGATATCCCGTATATTCGCCTTTGCTAAATATTCCCTAGTTTTTCCTTCATTCAATTACATATTTTTAAAAATTATTCATCGTTGAATGCATAATAAACACTTAAATTACCTCTCTTCTGTTCATTTTTCCTACTTTTGGTGTCTTGAAGTTTTTTTTTTTATTTGTTACAATAAGTTAGGCCATTTTTCACCAACATTTTATTATTACGCATCAATTTAATGTTTCGACCATACTAAGGGTCATTTTCAAAACTGGAAAATTATAATAACATTATTAGTTAATATTCATTATTTATAAAATGAATTTCTTATTACAAATAATTGAATTTGTAATAAGAAATTCATTTTATAAATGCTGAATATTAACTAATAATGTTATTATAAATTTTCAGTTTTGAAAATGACCCTTAGTATGGTCGAAACGTTAAATTGATGCGTAATAATGAAATGTTGGTGAAAAATGGCCTAATTTATTGTAACAAATAAAAAAAAAAACTTAAATTATCGTCGGTTAATTGCAGAAAGTCATTAAGTGACATTTCATAACCTCTAATAATTAAGAACTTTGATGAATTTTTCATTTTTGAAATCAGAAAATTGTGCTCTTAAGGACCTCTTACATGGTCAATATTATTGAAGCAATAAAGTTGAAGGCAATATATTGAAGGGGCACCTCACAGGGGTCAATTATATCGAGTCGATATTATATCAGTTGAGATCTTGGTTCTACTAAAGAAGGAGGTTTCCAAAGAAGTGATCTTTCTTTTTTTTGGAAATGAATTTCCTATTACTTTAATTGCCTTAGATTTAGCATTAAAATAAAAAGAAATCTGGTGCGCGCAACACAACTTTCACTTACCGCGATACTTTGAATAGAAATTATTTTCTAGCAATGTTGGGCTATTATAAATTTTTTGAAATGCATTTTAAACGTAGACGAAGCTTAAAGTTTACAGATAACAAATAATTAAGACCATTTAAATTACAAATACTTTATTTATTATATCGGTGACAGGCAATAAAAATCTAGTTACTCTATTTGCTTTTATGAAGCACAAAACTTCAGCCTCTGAGCATTACAGTTGACAGAATGATTAACACTAATTTCAACATTACTTAATGATTTTTTAGAATAAACGGCCAATAGATACCTAATTATTAAAATAAACTACATTAAATGTATGTAAGTTTATAAATATATCCATGAAATATTTTTATACTTCACTTCTTCTTTAAGCACAATGAAACAGTATTTTAAAAAATGGCATTGGCTTGATTCGGCGGATATTAAATACGTTTATTTAAAAAAAAAATTAAAAGTTTACATTTCGTAAGAAAACTTCATTTAACTTCCTTGGAAACATGTGATTTACGTTAAATAATGTTAG